GGGGGGGGGGGGGGGGGGGAGGAGAAAAGAGTCTTCCAGACACAGTATTTCCACATAATTTGCACTTTAGATTAAGTATGTTGTTTTTTGCATTTAATAACATTTGTATTTTGTAAAACAAAAAAATTGAGGTGATACAGCATCACAAAAGTTTCCTCTTTGCACCAAATAAACTATATTTAAATAAATGCTAGAGGACCCCAGAAACTTTTGTACACTTTGTGGCAATAAGCAATATTTTAATAATGTATCTGAGAAATTCCAATTCATGTTTCAATGCATGCATTTTTCTGAATGATACGACCTGTAAATCAAAGATTGACGGGAGCGGAAATGCCATTTTGCCTCAGTAGGAAACATACAGGGTACTGAATTAGTAAAGGCTCAAGAAATGTAATTGGTTCAGATTGGTAAATCACTGCTTAAATACAGCAGTATAGGGATGAAGAGGTCTGGATCCTTAAAGCTTTGCTTGATATCCGAACAAAGAAACTTGGGAAAATTAAATGCTGTTTGTACCTACTTACATCTGCCTGTTTGTACGAAACTGCTGTAGATTTATATAGGGTTTTGTACTTTTAATAAACAAATACAAAATCTTAATGTGTTATATTTTAATTAGTCTTACTCTATGGAAATTTTGGGTACAGTAAAATAAATTCCCATTGTAATTATAAAATGAGTTATTGACCCACCTGATTTTGTATATAATCACATGCTTGTTCTAATTTATCTGCACTGACAGAGAAAGTTCTCACCTGAGAAAAATGTGATGAAGCTGCTTCCTGTTTTTTGGGGTCAGAATAAGCAAAGGATTAAAGGTTAAAAGAACCTGAAACATATCAGAATTTCGATGGCGAAAACACACACATAACAATAGATTTTATTTCACTATGTGTACCTAAAAGGGGGTGCTGTTAGAATCTTACATGCATAGGACACCAGTGGATGTTCGCCCTCTAGTGGCTGCAAGATTGCACACAGTTGTGTTTCTGCAGCATGACTGATTACTATGGAACCAAAGGATTGGCCCGTATTGTAGAAATGGGTGTGTGTTGTACACTTTATCCATGGTAAGTATGAACTGTGCACAGTCATAATCATGTGGTAGAAATGTATGGTTACTTCCAGCACTGGAGATGCGTTGATGACTCAATGCAGTAAGGTAAAGTATAAACAAAAAGTTTTTTCAAAGTTTATTTATTGTAAAACTTTTTGATTGACAACTTTCTACAGTGTGGCTTATTTCAAAAAAAGTAAAAAAAAAAATGAAAAATCAGTTAAAACCTTTACAGCTTGCAGAATTATATTAAGATATCGTACCAACTGGTAGCAAGAAGTGCTTCATTCACGATGGTCAGGTGAACGATTCCACATGAGGAGATGTGGACAGCGTCCGGCACCGGGGCGTGGGCAGCACGCCAAGGGTGTGGTTCCTTCATGACCCTTCTCTCAGTTGTCCAGAGGAGCCATGAGAAGATGTAGTTCTTTGAAGGCACTTCCATGTCGACCCACCTGACTGGCCTTGTTCTTCACAACATTGCTGAGGTTCTTCAGCAGTTTGTAGCAGGCTTTGCATTTTTGGTGTCTGACCAACACAGTGGTCACGTCGAGGAGAAACACATACGACCAACAAGATCTCATTTATGACAATCATGATACCACCGGTTTTAGCAAGGCACCGATGAAATATTTAAAATATTTCAAAGATTTATTTTGCCTCCCAAAAACACCACATGCAACTTTCGGCACACAGACTTTGCAAACGGATAATTTGTGAGTAGAAAGCAAAACCTCACCTTTCTTCACGTGATATATCCACTCCAACAGAAGGGGGCGCTGTAAGCGTGTCTGAGATCAGAGGCCAGAAGCGTTTCAAGATAAGCTTTAAAGAAGTGCATCCCGTCTGGACATAACTAATGCAGAAAAACGAAGTAGTAGTGGTCAGTATTGCAAAAAAAGATTTGTATAAACAATACAAAATGGGTTATGATGTAAAATGTAGATGATTGCAAAACCATGGGCCCTTGCTGCACATATCAGATACTCTATAAAAACCTATGGGTCTCCCTGTACATGTGCAGCACTGGATATTACTGATACTGCTGAACTTTGCCCATTCATTCTGCTCTTACCTCTCATATTTACTTTGCAGCAGTTCCTCTATTTGGGGCAGGATAGAGGTGCACAGGTCCAGTTTCCATAGCGATCTGGTAACAAAGAACATAAACCATGGCCTTGTTTGGCAAACTGATTACTAGTGAGACTCATTAGCATCTATACAGGAAGAACATCCAGATGAGACCGTTATTCGAGTGAATACTTCATCCAGTACTACTGAATATTTGAAAAGGGAGAAAAGGAAAGAAAGAGCCAAATATTTCATCCTTCTGTGAGTGTTTACATTTCCATCTCTGGTGTAGTTAACAGTTTAAATATTAAATTGACCATCTTTTCCATGAGTTATGTAAAACATGTACAGTTCATTTATTTAACATATGCTGATGTATCCATCCATCCATCTGTTTTCTGAAGCCTCTTATCCTATTCAGGGTCGTGGGGGGGTCCGAAGCCTGTCCCAGAGGCTACAGGCGCAAGGCGGGGAACAACCCAGGATGGGGCACCAACCCATTACACGGCACACTCACACACCAGCCACTCACACACCAGCCACACCTACGGGCAATTAGCCAACCCCAATTAGCCTCAGCATGTTTTTGGACTGTGGGGGAGCAGGGGGGGGACCGGAGCACCCGGCAAGGCAAATAATACATTACAAGCATAGAGTTCAAGAAGATAACTAGGCATAAGTGCAGCTAGGCTGATCTTCCAATGAATGCCCAGTACATACAAACATAGCGAGATCTTAATAGAGCTATTCAAATAAAAAGAAAAATAATTCAAGGTCTCAAGACACACAAGAGACCAGCTGAGAGATGAAAGAGCAGTACAGTGCTGTAGGGAAGGCAGAGGTGTTCCCAAAACAGGAGCTCCACTGGAATGTCCAGTTATAACAAGTGACACAAATGCACAAATCAGTGACCCAAAGGGAGACTGAACTCCTCCTTTGGGAAACAAAGCAGAGGACACAGTTCACATAAAGAGCAGCACGCACTGACGTTCACTTACGGCTTGAGGTTGAGGATGTTGAGGATGTCTACAACGATGGACAGGTCGTTAATTGAGACAGCTGAATCTAGGGAAGTCTGAAGCACAAAGCAGAGGACTTGCGTCACACCGTGCTTCAATCACGTGTGCAAAGTCATGTACAAACTGCCAGGGATCCCCCAAGTAAACATTAACATGAGCTAAGACATAACAGGAACCATTATTTAACATAGAGAATCATCCAGCATCACGTCAGAAGCCTAAAGGGGTATCTTCAGTAATAAGGCTTCCAGTCTGTTTAGCGAGTAGGCTTGCGAGTTGCCAGTCAACTAGTTTATCCAAACTTCCCAGTGATTATTGGTTTGCATTTGTTTAAACAAAGCAGTGATCCCCAGGATACCCTATTCATGATGTCCTCCAAGCGGTAAACTACTAAAGCAGACTCCATCACAAATTCTTCCATTTATGATTCATAGTTTCAAAGTTACCTACGGTCACCATGGGAAACGCTTCTAGTCCTTAGCTATGTCACACAATCAGTGTTTTCTCCATCCCATCATATCCACCACGGTTATCTAGGAGCCACAGACGGCAGCCCTTGCCTTGACGTCTCCACTGCTCCACACCGCCCTGACAGATTCCAGGTTCTTGTGCCGGCTGGTCAGCATGACACACATGGTGTCGTGGCCCTTGCGGATCTGGGACAGCGCATCGTCGTCACTCAGCACAGACACTTTGTTGTTCTTGGCCACCTGTGAAAGAAATAAAACATTCAGCACCAATAAAAATATCAACAAAAAAAACATGAAAATGAAGCTGCTATTTCTTCATGTTCAGAAAACAGGCACCAGATAATAGTAAACATTTAAGAGTTTGAAAGGAAAGGCCACTTCTAAGACAACTATAAAGAAATCCACACCCAACGGAGGACAAATTCCATCCTCTGCCCACACTGAATATACACAAACCCATTTTATTAGCATTAATATAAACTGCAAGTATACAAGACACTTATGAAAGCATAAAACTCTCAGCAATAACCAACTTTACCATTGTTTCCCCCAGTGTTGTCTGCCCATACTGGGATAAAATATCCCTTTACTTTACAATAGTCTCATATACAATTCTGACCGTCCCTCACAGGGGTGATCTGCACAGGTGCAGACGCAGACACAGACGCAGACGCAGACGCCCCCTGACTAACCTGGAGGAAGTCGCCCACGTTGAGGCCAATGGGCTCGTTTCTGGAGGACAGGATCACCGTCGGTTCAGATTTGGTTTGTGGTGGACGGGCAGCGTGCTGTACTGCGGGGGGGCAGGGGGGTGTGGGCTGGGGGCGGCCAGCAGCTGTGACTACGGTGGGCTCTCTGACGACGGGTGTGGATGAGGCGATAGGGTGGATCTTCAGCTGCCCAGGCTGATGGCACCGGCAAATATTTACATCAAATACTCATTCTGCTCCATCTCCACTTCCACACTTATTCAACATACAGTGGTACCTCAGGACTCGAACGTAATCCGTTCAGAACTCGGGTTCAAATCCTAAAAAGTTTGAGTTCTGATCGAATTTTCCCCATAAGAAATAATGGAAAAACAATTACCTGGTTCCCGGCCCCAAAAAAATTACACCTAAATGTGTTTTTTTTTTAGCATTTAAACACAAAATGAACAGGATAAAACAGGAGAGCATATACTAAACACATTTTCGCAATTTCTCGCAAATACTGTGCCATCACTGTACGCCATCTGTAACATTTTTCTTAATGGCTTCCAAAATGATAAAGAATGGGCACCAACACTAGCCCAAGCCATGCCCCAACACTGCGCCAACACTAGCCCAAGCCATGCCCCAACACTGCGCCAACACTAGCCCAAGCCATGCCCCAACACTGCGCCAACACTAGCCCAAGCCATGCCCCA